AGGGAGCATTGCTATGCATGACACAGGAGCCCTCAGTCACATGGGGTTTCTAAAACTTCCCGGTCGGACAGGGTCCTGGCAGTGGCAAAGGTGGCTCTCAGGTTTAGGCTCACACACACGCGGCTGTGTTCAGTTCCCCAACATCAGGCCCTTCCTGCCATACACATGCACACCTAAATGTGGAAAAGCAAAGTGCTGGAGCTCATTGATATGCAACAGCATGCAGCCTGAAGGCAAGAGAGGCCTGTTATTATTAGAGTTTGTGTAGAGATGGGGTCTGGCAAGAGCTACCGCGTGGCAATGCCCCTGTGCACCAGCAGCGCACGCACACTCACATGGATAGCCACAGGTATGTCCCTGTCTCCATGGGTAACCTCTGCCCCAGCCAAGTAGCTGTCAGGAGCCCTCTGCTCCCCCTTCAGCATAACGAGAGCCGACCAGGGCCGAGCAGCCAGCAACCGGGGTTTTTGGGTTGGGGGGGAGTTGTTCCACTCCTGCACATGTGGAGGTTTGGGTTTTCCCCCCAACTCTCAGCCTTCAGGCTTCCCTCGTTAGCTCCATAGACGCTGCCAATTACTGCTCCTCTCGAGCGGTGGAAAACATCTTCTGGAGTTCTGTTACTCAGAGTAAGGTCAGGTGGAGCCCGGGAATCAGGCGTAATCAAGGAAAATAGAACAAGAAGTGTATTATCACCGTGAGCGATCATATTTGATAAAACACGGTGGGTGGGTGCCCCTTTCCATCATATTGCATCAGCAATATTGCATTTTCCATTAGAAAAAAAAGCAAAAAAGGAGAAAAACTACACTACCCAGATTGCACTGGGGCATGAAGTTTTCAGGGGCAATGTTATTACAGGGGCGATGCTTTTAGAAGCAGATGGCCAAATTAAATTGGTGGACTACTTGACTTCTGCCAAGAGTCCAGAGAAAATAAAAATTGGTCATGGCTCGAGTTTCGCATATCAAAGAATGACAGCAGTGTGAACTTGAGCTGCAGCAGAGAAGAACCACTGCAGTTTCTGATCTACTCAGCTATCTTTGCTTTACATCATCAAAGTCAAAGTCAACTTTATTGTGAGTTGTGAGTGATGAGTGAAGGATGAAATATATTTTCTCTGGAACACGGTGCTACATTTTACACAGCACAGCAGCAGACAACAGCGCAGACAGATAATAACCACAATAAATACAGATGACAAACTATACAGATGCTATACAAAGACATGACCACAAATGCAGGACAATAGAGATTAAACAGTAAACAGTGGACAATAGGATGAGAGAGAAAACAGAATGATTTTCAATAGGGTGGGTTATCACCAGCAGCAGTGATTATTTTTAAATGTACAGTACTGTGCAAAAATCAGAGACCACCCTTCATTTATTTAATTGTCAGTCAAAATGGTCATGAAGAGCAAGTTATTCATTGCTCTTGAGATATTAGATTTAAAAATACTAATATTATTTTAAAAAATAATAAAAAAAAAAATTGAAATCTTCAGAGAAAATGGGACTGCTAACAACCATGCAAGAACCGGTAGACCACCAAAATTGTCCCCATCAGTTAAACGGCACTTAAAGCTCTCATCTTTGAGAGAGAGGGGAAAATCAAGCTGCTTCAGATCTGAAAACATCCACATGTTTCTGTCCATCCTTCCACTGTGAGAAGACAACTCAGCGTTATGGGTCTGAAGGGATGTTTAGCTGTCAAGAAGAACCTCACTGAGAAAGAAAAAAAAAGGAAATAGACAGAAAGCAAAAAAATAAATAAATAAATAAAAAAATAGCACAAGTACACCAAAACTGGATATCTGAGACAAGGAGGTTTTATAGACTGATGAGTCGAAAATTGTATCTAGGATTAATGTAACCAACTTCTAAGACTGCCCTTTGAAGGTGGGGAAAAATGTCCCTGCAGATTCCTTTATAAAGCTAAAAGCAAGCCTCAGGAAAAGAACATAAGCTATAATAAAGACAAAGGGAGAACACAATCAATACTGAGAAAAAGACATTATATTTAGTTGTGGACTCTTCTGTGTAATTTTCTGTTAAATATATGTTTTATCCTGAAAAAACAAATTCCTGAAAAATGAGTAACTTGCACTAACTGGCCACTTTGACTGGAAATTAAATAAATAAAGGGTGGTCTCCAGTTCTCACTGATGCAAATCATCACTCTTTTTTTCCATGACCTAAACCTTCACTTTCACCAAGTCCCCAAGAAAACCTGTTTTTTCAGATTGACCACTTTTTTAAACTATCAATAGCATTACACATAAAAACTCAGAAAGCATGTATAGGTTCACTGGTGGTTTTGGATAGTAAATAAAATGGATATATTGGTGTTAACATCATAAATCCCAGTTACTATCACCACCACTGTAAAGTAACTATTAGTCAGTAAGTTTCTTGACAATTTACCATTTCACATCAAACCACTCTGAATGACTTTGTTTACATCTCAGTGACTGAATTATGCAGTAATAAATAAATCTGCGGAATTCCTCTTTAAAAATAACAGTGACTAAAGGAGAGTGAGGATATGGAAAGAATCAGTGTTGGTTCCCTAAAGCAGTGGGTCTCAACCTTGATCATGGAGTACCCCAGGCCTGCACGGTGGTGTTAACCCTGATCCAGCTAATCAGCTAATTAACCAGCCCTTCCTGAGCTGAAGCAGGAAAAACACTAAAATGTGCAGGGTGGGGGTCAGTGGAACTACAGTGCATGGTTATTCAAAGAATTTTCTGTAAATGAGGCGTGTGAGTGTGAAGAACCTTTTTTAAAGTTTAGAGAACGTCCACAGAAAGTAATGGTTCTATGCTAATTCAGGATTTTTCCTGGAATTGTATGTCCAAGCCAAAAACCATTTAGGAATGTTCAAAACCAAGAACTCTTTAAGAACCTTTCAATAGTCCTGGTTAATATGATTATGATTAAGATCACTGTAATGATATTTAATAGCACTTACAATAATAGACCTCACTAATACCCTGACCCTGTTCCTAAAGTCATTTCAGTGAGCTTTAGTCACTGCACTATGATAACCCTTATTCAATTTGTACTGACAAGTCTAGAAACGTTTCAAGTGGAGAGATTTACCATTATAGCCGTTATAACTGACAGATTGGTCTAATACTGCTCCAGGTAAATTCATATTAAATAGGGCGCAAAAAGCCTCCCATTCTTTAAGCGGTCTTACATTCTTTTCCCATTGCACGTATTTTGATGGACTACCTTTTGAAATTGAATCAAGATATGCCTTTCCATTCCCCAGTTGAACCATTATTATTTTAACCCCGAATGCGCTGTATGATCTCTATACCATATTGGTCTGCCAAAATGTCCCCGGTATGCTTTGCTTCCTGCTTTGGAGGAGAAAAAGCAGAGAGAAGAAAAGAAGCATTCCTCAGGTTTCCAGAATTCTGGCCTCCTTCGAGTAGCTGGAGACTCTTTTGGTTGGGAGAAGTCTCAGCCAGTACAAACAGCGAGATGCCTGCCCAATTAGAGATGCTAAATGCATTTGACTCGCTGCCCCACCAGGCCTGATGAGTGCGGCTAATGCCTGCCCCAGGTTCAAAGGCCAGTTCAAGCCGATTCCATTATGCTGCGAGGCATGAGTTCTGGTTGCGTGAAAAGGACAGATATTGGGTTCTCCTATTCTTTTCAGAGAAAGGCTGTAAGATGAAATAAGCATCCCAAGATATGGGTTTACTCAAGCCAATCTTTGAGGCTGTAATTTCGGGGTGAAAGCATCCACTTTCTAGCTGTAGATCTATACAACTTGGTACAAAGACACAAGTATTTTAAAGATCTAACTAACATCATGGCACATGATCTAATGAGGATCCACACTTCAGATCATTTAGCTGTCAGACCTCTACATAATCTAATAACTCAAGTCACATAAACTCCTATAACCACTATAGATATTTAGGTAACTGTATCATTAAATATTAACCTAATAGCCTGAAGCATATTCATGCACATCAATCATCTTCCTTACAAACTAATGGCACTGTGAGGCGCACATCAATGTTAAACCAATCACCATCTCTGTGAGGCTCAGGAAATAGATTTTTATTAGCACTCAAGAAAACTTTTATCTCTCACCATCAGAAGTGGAGTAGTGACCTGTCACTGGCCATTTCTTTTCATATTAATTCTTGACGGTGAGAGAAAATCGACTTGCAATGATTCTGGTAAGGTCCACCCATAGGGACTTATTTTTTAACTACATTGTCCTGGCTACCTGGCTGCTAGGTCAGTGATGAAGGAGAGCTCCATCAATTTTTCAAAAATTCTACGTAATTATATGGTTAAGCTGTAAACAAAGTCCTTCGGAGTGGTTTGGTGTGAAATGCTCTTTTCTAGAGAAAATTGCAGAGTCAGATCTATTCACAGTGAGGGTGATAGAAACCAGACGTCCACCTCTAAAAGATCCCTCACAGAAAGTTTTTACATGAAATAATTATGAATACACTGCCTGACGCCTAAGACATTGATTTATTATAGTTTTGTGATAAAGGTTTGTCTTCATTCATGGCTGAGGGCTACACGCAGGGCATTGTCAGGCAAAATAGTCCCCAAAGAAAACTTTAATTTTTCAGATTTATGACAATTTTACTATCATCAACATTACATATACACAGACACATGTAGGTTCACTGGTGGTTTTAGATAGTGAACAAAAAGGCTATATTTGTGTCGTAGACATCCCTGGTTCCTATCACCAACACTGGAAAGAAATCTGTACGTTTCTCTACAATTAACCATTTCACACCAAACCACTCTGAATGACTCTGTTCAAGGACTGATTTATTCAGAAGTTTTGAAAAATTGGTGGACTTCCCCTTTAAGTCATTTTTGCCTAGCTTCAGCTGTGATGGACCTAGAAGAGCTTTATGTCATGTAATGAGGAGTCTTGGGCTCCATCTAGTGCTCAAACTAGCTAACTTACATAAAAACATGTACAATTGTTCATTTCCACGGACACTCGGTGGCGACATCTCAAATCAGTAACGAGAGCTGACTAGCAAGAGGGACCCTCTTTGTGAGCTTTCGTCGATTGTTTATACGTTAACGTTAGCTACCTGTGTGCTGCCCGGATTTGAAAAGTCGATAAAAATCCTTCTAATCTTGTTTTCAACATGGGATGTGACGGCGGCACCATACCCAAAAGGCATGAATTGGTTAAAGGACCAAAGAAGGTGGAGAAGGTAGCTAAAAACGAACGACACTCGCTCTGTAACGTTAGCTGGCGTTAGCTAGAGTCTGCTAGCTAACCTAGTTAGGTCTTTGATATAACGGCTCTGGTCTTTGTTACCCTTTGTTATGCTCTAGATATGTGAGTTGGCTAGCTTTATATTGTTTTTGTCCGTTAACTTATTGCGCAAAGCTGGTATTTTATTTGACTTAATGGTCAAAAACCGTGTTGTTTGGTTACTTGGCTGGCTAGCCACTGAGCTAGCTAACCTAGCTAGTTGGCTGCCAAAGAAGGTCTAGTCAGCTGGTTTTAAACGTTACTGATATCAACATCTCTTAGTATTTGTCACTACAGTATGCAGAGGGTTGACAAGCTGTAATCCGAAAACAAACTGGTGTATTTCAGGTGGACAAAAATGCTGAGCTCGCCGCCAAGTGGAAATACTGCGCCCTGAGCCAGGAGAAGTTGAGGCGTCCTATTGTGGCTTGTGAACTTGGGAGGTACATGAATTTATATCTTTGAGTCAAGTTTGTTTAGCTTGAGGTCTAAACAGAGATACTTCTTATCACGTTTAATATCTGTTTCCAGACAATCAGTCAAATGCATGTTCAAAGCTGAATGAATCGGTTGTTTCAACAGGCTGTACAATAAAGATGCTGTCATCGAGTATCTGTTGGACAAATCAGCAGAAAGACCAAATGTAGAGATCGCGGCTCACATCCGTGGCATCAAGGTGAGAATAAGGTTTTATAGAACAAACCGATTTGAAAATGTGTGAGTATGTGAAAGTCTTCCGTGAAGTCGTAGTTAAACCCGTGAATGCTTCTACATAATCTTAATTTGTCAGAAACAAGTACACATAAAAATCCTGTTTATCCATTTGCACCTGCCAGTTTTGTCTCGTTTTCTTTTTTTTTTTTTGTTAAGTTTGTGTTTAATGTTTCTCCCCAGAATGTATTATTGTTTTAATAACAACCTGAAACTTTGCAAGGCTTTAAGGCTTTCTTAAAAGGGTATTCTGGTCTAAACTTTCCAGGCTAACCCTAATTATTATTGTTATTGTTGTTGTTGTTGTTGTTATTGTTATTATTATTATTATTATTATTTGTTGTGTTGTGTAGTGTAATGTAGTACATTACATCTTTTAGCCTCATAGGTCTGACAGTATTCACAATTTTGTGTCCTTTTCATCCATCAATGTTTTGTCATTACAATATTTATAAGGTATTACACAAGAACACCTTTGGGAATAAACATTTCAAACCTAAAACACTTGTAGTTTTTCAAAAGTTTCTTTTATCTACAAGATAAAACCCTTCAAAGTGGGTTTTCCTTGTCTTTATACCAGACAAATCTCAATCTCTGGACTATTGTGGACTATTGTGTGTTTTTGAAGGATGTGAAAGAGTTGAACCTGACAGAGAACCCAGCGTGGGAAGGAGAGAGGAGGAACGCTAAGGGTGACTGCTATGAGGACATGCACTGCGCCATGTTCATCTGCCCTGTAGTGGGGCTGGAGATGAATGGCAAACACAAGTAAGAGCTCTCTGTTTTACTGATATATGCTTAGAATGTGTTGGTCAAATAGGACTAAAATGTCACAAGACTGCTTAAAATAAACAGTGAAAACATCAAACTCTCTGCTGTTTTAAGAAGAATAAAGCTGTGAGCCTAGTGTAGAGACTGGCAGTAAGATGTTAAAAAATTTATGCATTTTGAGCAAATGTGGAACCATTTTTGCCTGCCTGAAAAACTCTGATCACTGTTCCAACTAGGGATGCAAATTTTATGATAATTGACCATCATTATTCAGTGATTAACTGTTAACAGGCAAATCTAAAATTAAAGATATAACCCATCAAAATATCAGTAATAAAATAGATAGTTCTGGTTATGAAATCTGTTTGGCTGAGCCACCTTTGAAGCTATTGTATAATACTATATATACACACTATATGATGTGTAATATATGTGTATTACATAAGGTATACCCAAAACTGTACTGTAAACACACCCTGCATTAGAACCCAAGAGACTGACAGCTGTAATTTTTTATATTTATATGTGAACAAAAATGTTGACAAAATGATTGTAACATAAAACGATGGGCTTCTGAAAGTTCTGTGATCTGAAGATATATTTACCACTCAGTAGCTCTCGAAAGTCGTTGCCCTTGACTATGTTTTTATTTATAGTTTTGCACAAGCATGTGTCATTTCCTCACACTGCCATCCATTCGAAAGGTTCCTCAGCTTGAAGGATAAACCAGCTTGTTCAAATAGGAACTGTTGTTCTTTGTTTACTGGAATAAAATAATTTGGTTATTGGTCAGCAAAGTATCTTCCACCGTTCCCAAAATATTCAAAGAATTATGTACAACAGCATTATTTACTGTGTGTTAATACTATTATAACCACACCACAAAATGTTACATTTTTAATAGTAAGAATCTGAATAGTTTGAAAATGAATGTATTTCACTAAATAAGCTTTTAAAGAAAAGTCTCTGCTCATAAATCTACAAGCTAGAAACTCTCATATACGTTAGTTGCTTCTCACATAAAATATGCAAGTCTGTTAATCTCACTGCTGAAATTTTAGCAGAAATTGCATTTATAGTAAGTCTAAAAATGTGCAAAATCAACATAATAGGTAGTCATCACCACTTAGCTGGTGTGCCATATTTTGTTTTACTAGTGAGCACACATTTTTGGAGTTCCCTTTGACTTCTGGAAATCAGATGTCTGGTGCCACCTAGTGAGTAATCTATCAGCATTGCATAAAATTGCATAGAATACGCATGTTGTATACCAGTTGTCACCAGCCATGACCCTGGAGGTCTACTTTCATATTGAGTCTGTTTCCAACCACAGTCTGTCACCTCTGCTCCAGCCTATTAACTTCTTCAGAAGTTCTTAAATGGCTGTATCAGAAGCATTAGTGCTAGGTTAGGAGGTGTTTCATATTAGATGCATGTTGGAACTACACTTTGGAGGAAAGAAGATCTGCTGGAGGAGGGTTCATGACCTCTCTTATACACATTAGCGCAAAGAGAATGAAGAACACTCTGGAATGATTCATTTGTGAAAGTAAAATTCCCCTTTAAACAAATGGTGATTAATAGTAAACCAATTAAGCAAGTTAAACAGTCACACTCAATTATTTGTTTCTAAATTTTCAAGGTTTCGAGCCTGTAAAAGGTAGTGAGTTAAGTGTTTATCTTCTTGTCAGGTTTTGCTATCTCCAGACCTGCGGCTGTGTGTTCTCAGAACGAGCTCTCAGGGAAGTCAAGACGGAGATCTGTCATAAGGTGAGAACCAGCCTCAAAACATTGTCACTGTTTGCATTTTTCTATTCTGTCAGTATCTTGAAGCTTTTAAGCTTTTTTTTTGCCATGGCACAAATTTGTAGGCTAAAAAACATGACATTTAAGATAAGTTAATTAAAGCCTACCTTAGCGCTGTATCATGTGGCTAAATATCGTATTTATTTCTGTTGAGAAATGGCCAACAAGTCCATGAGTCCACAGTCTGTTGGTTGGTATGCACAAGTCTGGGCAAAGATGCCATGCATCACTTTTTCTCCTTGAGAACGTGAACGAAGTAATAAAATTGTTGTACTTTCTTGGTCAGTGCTTGTGGATGTTTGCTGCTGATGTGATCCATCATTGTGCTCATGCTACTGCTAAATTTCAGTACATCGTTACACAGTTTACATCTGACCACATCTCCTTCTAGCAAAAAAGTGTTCCCCACAATGTTCTGTTTAGCCACACACTTCGTTTTGTTGTAGGGTAATTGATGGGGAGTTGATTTCAAAAGAGTTGGTTCTCTAGGTGTTGGAGTTAACTCTTGCTCAATGTCTCTAAGAGTCAAAAAGCATGGATTTTCATCGTATTAGTATGATCTGTAACTATAATTTGTGTAAACTACAATCAGGATGGTTTGATCTCTGCTATATTTCTTACTCTGCAGCTCTGTCTCTCTCGGATAAAATTAAGTTGATAGAGTCGACTCCAGAAAACCTAGAGTTTTGCATCACTAAGTAGGACTGCTGAACGATTTACACTCTTGCACACAATTCAAAAACGTTCCTCAAATTAAATGAAAAACTTGCCTATTGTGAACAAGCATTGGTTGAACGTTTATGTATTTGAAGGTTAATGACTAACCTCTTTAACATCCTTAGCATGATGCAACGTGTGAGTCAAATTTCTGAAGGTGACACAGAAGGTGTCACTTGTGTGGGATCATCTGACAAGTATATGGAGAGTATGAAGAAATGCAGTGGCTAGGAAGCTGACTTTTGCTCAACCATAATTTACAGTAATGTTTAACACATTTCAGTGTTTCCTACACATAGGAACTTGTGTAGGAACTGTACTTGGGTGGTGTGTCAAAGTATATGGACACCCCCACCAAAGTAATATTTTAACAAGAAGTTGTGTGAGGAGGAGGAGAGACTCCTAGCTCATGTACTCTGCTAGCGTGAACCTTATTGAAATATAGAATAAAATAACTCTTAGACATCTTCCATTTCCATTTTGCTCATTTCAGCGGTTGATATTCGTATTTTTGTGTAAAAGACATTATTTGAGTCTAGCTTTTGTCTCCGTTTTGGTCATATGTTTAACTCGGTTTGCTGGGTGCGGTGCACCTCATTCAGCAACTTCGTTAGACTCCCTGAAAAATGTTCATTTTTATGGAAGTTATATAGATGTAATTAGGCTACCAGTTCATAAATCTTTTCCTCTTTCCTCAAAATATGCATGTACACAAGTACTTTGTGTACGAAGTACATGCATATATTCACTAGGAGCTCACAGAGTGCTGCTGATGCAGGATCAGTCCTATTTTAGCCTACTCTTAATCAAAACATTAACTGACACCCTAAAATGCCGATCCTCACTACAGGTACACTACTCTTGCGAGATGGTTGTTTTTAGTTAGCCATTCTAAAAATGGGCTATGTTCGAAAAAGCCCATTTTGTTCTGTATGCTGCATGCTACTCTTCATCAGTAGTATACAGTATAGCAGGGGTGCTCAGTGTTGGTCCTGGAGATCTACAACCCTGCAGTATTTAGCTCCAACCTAAATCTAGCACACCTGATACATCCAATGAAATCCTTCAGGGGCATCTGAAAGTTAGAGCCAGGTGTGTTGGATCTAAACTCTTCAGGATCAGGATTGGGCACCTCTGCAGTATGATATGCAGTTTGTGAAATAGTGTGCCATGCTACAGGGCAGAGGTGTGACTAGACTACCACTTTTTAGGTCTTGAAAAACATGTGGATAAGTTTTGGTCAAGAGATGACTGAGTTTTGAAAGATGCCATGACCGAGTGAAGAGTGTTGTTTTCTACTGATCTCCTAAGTCGGAAATGTCAACTTTAAATACGTCTGTGTGGTAAATGTGTGTGGTTTCCAGAGACACCTATATTTGCTAAAAGGTCAGTAATTTCAGTTTCATTACATTTGTAGTTGGTCATAGGAGCTAGTTTGTCTAGATAATAAGCAGTGTGACTCCACATTGTGAGCATGAGGTTGTATTACAGTAACTTCCTATCTTTCGTCCTAAGTTAAGATCTGTCAGGGTCAAGATAAGATATTTCACAAATTCGTATTACAGAAGCAAACCTTTATCTTCATTTAGCAAATTCACCTCCCAGCATTTTATCTCAAGTTGGGAAATAACTTATACTCAGTCGAAGTCAGCAGTCAACTGTCATGTCTGTGACCAAGCCACCAACGATACGTGCACAGCCGAAACATCAACACATAATCAGAATAATGTTAAAAATCTAAGTTGCAGCTGCTGTTACTTATTAAGTTAAAGCAAGTTAAAACAAAACTAAAGTGAAATAAACTGGACGTTAGGAATATTGTGACAGTGAAATGGGCTGTTTCTCAGAGTGTCACCGCACCCCAGTTTTCAGACTCCATCTCCCAAAGCTTTAGATGGCCTGCGAGCCGTGCTAACTTTATTCCTCCTAATAAACAGCCACACATTCAACTAAGTTTCCTATTATTCACCACCATCTCTATAATATTGTATTTAATGATTTTATTATTTGATATTTAATTATCAAAATTAGCACACAGTGGTAATAAGAGGAGACGGTGTGAATTGAACCAACATAAATAAATGTAACCTCATTATGCCAGTAGTGAACTATGCTGCCTGTCACAGTTGCCTAAAAACAGACTGTTAAAACAGAGATTAGGACACCATTGGGGTTGTCCTAAAGTTAGGACAATACTTATTAAATTTTGTCTAGTTATGATGCTTCTGTAAGTCTGTTTTCTTATCTAGAGTTAGGATAAGATTGTGAAGTTATGAACAGTTATTCTCTAATAGCTACTGTCCTAAATTAATTCATAACTGAAGTTGTCGTGGTAACTAAATACAATGAGATTTCAGATTTAGCATGTTTCTGTAATAGGGCCCCTGAAAAGCTGATGCTGTGCAGGTTGTTTGGTTGAGACAAACCTTAGTAAGTTACTGTTTTAACCATGTTACTGATGCAACACATTAACTTTAGTAAATGAACAAAGCCAGCAAACCCACCTCAAGACCAGCAGAGAAAACTGATGGGGCTTCAGTGTTACACTGAATGCAGTAGCAGGACAAATTATGTTTTTTTTTTATTTTTATTTTATTTTTATTTTTTTTATTAATCCCAGTCTGTTAAATTGTTTGGAGCTAACTAAGCAGTAATTTTGTGTTTACGTCCTCCTGAAATGACCATATTGCATTTTAGGATGCAGGATATAATGAAGATGCTGCCTGCATGAAGGAATATTTGGCCATCCAAACATCTTTGGCTTTTGGAAACTCATGTTTCTGCATGCTACTCAGTACTTTTGGACACAATCGGCACACTTGCGTTATGTAGTGGGCTATTTCAAACACAGCTACTTTCCCATTCCTTTTAAAAGATGACGTAAAAGTTCAAAACCAGTGAAGGTAAGGAGAGCGAGACCAAATGCTGCTAATTTGAGTCAGTAGGTTTCTTCATCAGTTACAGTACTGCTTTACATCGCCATAGCCTGTAGTTATCTTTACATTTGCAAGGACTACCACAACACTGCAGTGGTACAAGGACAACCAACTTGTTGCCACATCATTGCCACCACAGCAGCCATAAAACACCTTTCAAATGTTTCAGCACTCTCTAGCACAGCCCCTGCCCTTTTGTCAGTGGTTGTGGTTCATTCTGCCAGTCAATTAACAGAAGTTCACAGATATTTTCCTGCCAGAGCATTTAACGTACGACCTACCTGAGCGAAAAGGCTCAGGAACAGATCTAAATCCTCATCTTTTACAGAACTAACAGAGGTGTCAGGTTAAATCAGACAGCAGGTCAGACAATAAATATATATATATATATGTATATGTATGTGTGTGTGTGTGTGTGTGTGTGTGTGTATATATATATATATATATATATATATATATATATATATATATATATATATGTATATATATGTATATGTATATATATGTGTATATGTGTATATATATATATATATATGTATATATGTATATGTATATATATGTGTATATGTGTGTATATATATATATATATATATATATATATATATATATATATATAATACATATATACGTGTATATATATATATATATATATATATATATATATATATAATAATTTTTTTTTATATCTATTTTTATGTATGTTAACATGACAGTATATTGTTTCACATGGGAAAAAATGCATGACTTGCACTCAAATAAGACATAAAGGTCTTGCTAGAGCTGTTTAGCTCGTTTTGTTTATTTCTTTTCTTTTGGTACTGTCTGTAGTCCCCTCCTGGGTACATTGCAGAGTCTGCCAGTACAACTTTAACAGCTTTACTACAGTAAACTGTTGTTCATCGCTTAACCTGTTTTGTTTGTCTGTATAGTAAAACCACTAAAAGTTTATCTACATTGTACTGGTTTCTGTACCCCTTTATTGTGCTTTTCCATCCTCTTGTTAGTGCCTCTTTCCTCCTCATAGACCTGAGCCTATGGACATAAAAGGCATGAATTAAGTCTTTAATATATAAAAGTCTTAGTGTTATACAATTTTGTGTGTATGTGTACAAAAAATATGAATTTTGATATTTATTTATGCTTTACGTTTGATCCTAAATCCTTTTTTGATAAGTAGAAAATGATTCTGCGGTGTCATAAAGTAGAAAGTCCACTGATCTTTGTGCTTTGATTTTCACAAAATGTTGAACTGAGTATCTTGAAAATAGGCCCAGAATACATCCACAATAGGGCACACTAAAAACATATGCA